GCCACTGTTTGATCATTTGAGCTCTGTATTTAAAATCTTAAAGTGGTTTTAGGAAAATGATTCTAAAGCTGTCAGTTTGTTGTAAAAACCCAGTCTGTGAAGAGAAAGTAGAGTTAAAGTTTTGAGTTCAATGATCCTTCTTCAGATTTCTAGCATCTGCAGATCTTTGTTTTATTTATCTGCTCAGTAATGTCCTGAGGGGAAGGAGACAGTCCATCTTTGTCCGGTCTAGCCTGTATGTGACTCCAGACCTATACCAATCTGATTGATGCTGCAGAAGTGAGTGAAAATTAAACAGCTCATGTTCATTAAAGTTAACGTATTGAGTCTAATCTTTAACATATTTGTGTTCTGAAGATGTCATACAGGACTTATAGATAGAATTCTGTTCCTCTGTCCAAGTATACTGCTAGACTGCTGAGTTTTCTCAGCATTTTCTGTTTTTGTTTCGGATTTCCAGCATCCTAGTATCTTGCTTTTATTATCATAACAGTTAGGGGTGTGCAACAAATGTTGACCTTGTTAGATGTGCCTTGATTCCAAGGTTTTATCTTTTCAAAAAAAAACTGATGACTAGTTATTGGGGCATTTAACTCTGTGTTAAAATTGCATGATTGCACATCTATTACAGAATTAACTATATCTTCTCCACTTGCAGGAGATATATGTAGGTGCTGGAAAAGTTCAGGTAGTTTTTCTTGCTCTACTATCAGTTGTAAAGGGAGGAAAGATTTTTTTCCTTTATTCTTTAACGGAATCAGGGCATCACTGGCTAGGCAGCATTTATTACCCATTCCTAATTGCCCAGAGGGCAGTTCGGAGTCAATCACATTGCTGTTGATCTGGAGTCGCATGTAGGCCAGGCCAAGCAAGGATGGCAGTTTCCTTCCCTAAAGGACATTAGTGAACCAGATGGGTTTTTCCTGACAATCGGCAACGGTCATCGTAAGATTCTTAATTCCAGATATTTTTATTGAATTCAGATTTCATCATCTGCCATGACAGGATTCGAACCTGGGTCCCCAGAGCATTATCTGGGTCTCTGGATTAACAGTCCAGTGATAACACCACTAGGCCATCGCTTCCCCATATTTCTCGATGCAGAACATGCTCTAATATTGGCAAAGTGTGATTCTATTTAGGATGCACATGAAAACGGAGTGCAAGTAAGTTTGTACTGTGGGATTTGCAGCAGGCAGCAGTTGTGATGTTGCAGTTGCCTTTAGTGAATCTCTTGAGAGAATGTGGTTGAATAATTATTCAGAATTTTAGTTTTTTGTCAATGGCCTGTGATTCCTGGGAATCTTCATAAACATCTATTGGAATCGAACTTTGGCATGTTTGCTCAGAGGGGCGAGAGAGTGAGATGATGACTTGGTAGGTACCAGACAACTGGCGACATAAATGGAACCATATATTTGTAAGAGTCAGCATCTTAACTAATAGAGGAGTTTATATTAGGAAAAGGAATTAACGTGCAAATATCATCAATGGACTTTATCCGAAGGTATATTAATAGGTTGTAAAATCCTATACATTAGAATGAAGTAATTATGTATGTATGTATGAAGCACCTCTAATCTGCTTGGAAGTGACTGGCCGTTAACCTTTGAGTCTCCTTAAGCCCCCTTCAACTTCCAACTCTCACCCAGTGCCTTACCACATGCCAAAATCAACAAAAATAATTAAATAAATTTGGATACTGCAGTATAAGAGGTCACCACAATCAAAATTCTGGAAGCAAACTTTTCATAGGTGCTGCCAAATTAAAAATGAGTTCAGCCTTCTGTAAGACATTTACTGCATTTGGAGGCATGATTGCAAAGTTTCCAATGCAATTACTATGTTTGGGAAATGCGTTCCTGATCAGTATAGATCCAGGAGGAGGGGACAGAGGCAACTCTGGCTTTGGTCACGGCAGATAATGGCTTGCTTTCTGCAACTAGTTCATCAGTAACTTTCAGATTAATATCTACAAATCTAGTGTTCTATCAAAATCTGAGCTCTGACCTATTTACTCTAGTCCAGCACTTTTGAGTAGAGTTGCAAATAGTTTTCATACTGTGTCCACTTAAGCTGTAGAAAATCATCCACTGGTACAATTTTATATTCTCTTGCTCACAAAATGGGTTATATCAGAATAGAAGATTTTGCACTGTATTGTATTAAGCTGGAGTAATTAGAGTTACAGGTCTTGCAGGTAGAAACAGTTGAGGTGCTTGTAGAATAATTTTGGCTCCTCAATTAAACCTTTGGCTTGAGTGGTGTTTTCTGCAAGTTTTTGGGATGCCAATTACACGATATAAACATTGTCCTAAATTTCAGATGCAGAAGCTATTTTAATGTCACAACAGTAAGCTTATTTTCTGAGTAATGGATTCATGATGAAAGCCCTCCCAAAATGCTCATTTGAAAGGTTCTTAGAAGAATAGGAGGTAGTCTTATTAAAACATTTACAATTTTGTGGGGAATTGACAGGGTAGATTCCAAGAGGATGTTTCCCCTCATGGGGAAAACTTGAACTTGGAGGGGGGCTTGGGGATGGGGCAGGATGCGGGAGTGGTGGTTGGGCAGCAGGCATTACCATTTAAAAATAAAGAGTCTTCAATTTAAATTGAGGTGAGGAAGATTTTTTCCTTTGGGGGTTGCCAGTCTTTTGATTTTTCTTTCTTTAGTGAGCAGTGAAGGCTGGATCGTTCAGCCTTGAATATGTTTAGTTAGATTTTGATCCGCAGGGCAGTTAAGTGATATTGAGGACAAGCAGGAGAATGGAGTTAAGGCCATGATCAAATCAGCCACAGCCTTATTGAATAACAGAGAACAGGTTGGAGGGGCCAAATGTCCTAGTCCTACTATTTCATGAGCTGTTGTGTTCAAATGTATGTCAACTTTGCCACCAATCTTGATTATCATTGTTCTTTCTAAATTCCAAGTATTTGATTTTTCGTACTCCACGTCTAACTTAAACTCAAGGTTAATTACACTCTTCTACACATGCATCTGATCAGCAGAAATATTTATTTCCCATTGTTCCTTCCACAAGATTTAAGCTCAGCATCGCCTAACTTTTACTATTGTCCATTCATTACTATTTTTAATTCAGACCACAGTTGGGCAAAGTCTGGTTTCACTCTGATGTTTACTGAAAAGCAATATTTGTGACTATCATGAAGCTACAAAGACGTCTAATAATGAGCCTCTTGTCAATGTTTGGGTGTAGACTTTATTTAGCTAGTCTTCATTTCTGAGGTGAAAATCCTCAAATTTGTGATGTAGTATGAATTAATATTTTAATTTGCTGGGCGGTCTGAGGGCAATGGGCTTACTCTGAGGAGGACTGTTGCTGCTTTTGTCATTTTTGTTGATGTTTATGTGACACCTTTTGTGCAATTGAACATCAGTTTCTGCATGCGCAGGGAAAGGGATTCCATTGTGACCTGGCCACTCAACTTTGTTACTGTGTTCTATGGTTATCCACAGGCTTTTTTATTCTTCAGTTCCCCTCTCCAAGACTCTGAATTTTGTTGGGCAGGATTCTAGTTCTACAGGCCTAGGAATCATGATTCATTTTATTTCCTCCCTCCTGTTGCTTGGGGAGCAGTACGTGGATCTAGTGATGCTGCTATATGTCACCTGAGCAGAGATCAGCACCTTTTACAAGTTATAAATCCCATGACAGTATACTCATGTATATGACTTTGTAAAACACTGGACAGTGTTTTTACCTACTAAACTATCAAGACTGGGCTGAGCTTCCATTTGTCACCTTGTCTTTTAGCATGAGTCTTCTAATTTGTACCGATGAAATTGTTACTGATCTTTTCCGGTTATCGGGACTATTGGTATTTAAGTACACAAATAAGTTATCAGAGCTGCCTTTAAGATCCAGAAAGTCTGCACATAAAATTGTTTTGAGTTATTGGGCATTTAGTGTAAAAAACATTTGTACAAGTGAACAAAAGAACATAAGAAATAGGAGCAGGAGTAGGCCATCTCCCTTGAGCCTGTTCTGCCATTCATTTAGATCATTGCTGATCTTTTTGTGGACTCAGCTACACTTAGTTGCCCACTCACCATAACCCTTAATTTGTTTACTGATCAAAAATCAATCTATCTTTGCCTTAAAGACATTCAACGAGGTAGCCTCAACTGCTTCACTGGGAAGGGAATTCCACAGATTCCACCACCCTTTGGGTAAAGAAGTTCTTCCTCAACTCAGTCCTAAATTTGGCCCCCTACACGTGCTGCAAAATCATAGTGGACCATAGACAGTGTGTAAAAAGTACGAAAGGGGCTTCACAGTAATTTCCGTCATTTAAAATTGATGTTAAACCGGATTGTTTCCCATTCCAAGAACATCTAGAGAGATTTTATGCATTAGCTCAGAGGGTATATGAAAGGTAAGGCTTGCCTTGCCAGTAGGAATCAGGGTGGGGCTGTAACATTGTACGCCTTCAGGTGCTGAGCTCAGTTTGAGTTTGATTGTTCTGCACTCTGAATCATTTATTTTGTTCAATAACCTTCCATTTCATTTCTAACCATAAGTTAAAATTCTTTGGGTAGTGCATTATAATTCTAAAGCAGAACAAGTATTCTACCAAAATAAACTTGATGTACATGTAAATAAACATGTCGTTGTGATATTTGTAAGAAAGGTGAAAAGTATAAAGTTTAAATCTGCTTTTTTCCAGCCAAACACTGATTCTAGCAGTCTGATATACACTAACATAAGTACACTGATTATAAATATTTGTCAAAATTGGTTAATAGAAATGCACGTTTATTTTTCCCATGTACTAAGGTAACAATGATTGTAAAGTCATTTAAGTTGTGAGATATATTGTGTCCATTTGATCTTAATATTTAATTTTCTTTCCTCTTTCCAGGTTATGTACGGCTTCCTAGTCGGCTGCCTGGTCTTAAGATCAGTATATATTGTCACGTGGTAAGTAGTGTTCCATTACAGCACAAACCCTTATGAGAACCTGGGGTTTTAAAACTGAAGTTAACGGACTAGTCCAAATTTGCAAAGGTTATTAGTGGTCCACAAGGTTGTAATGTGATACCAGGATTTTTATCACTCTCTGGTTGTAAATCTATTATTGGCACAGTGTTGTCAGTTTGTTTTGTAATAGGTTTGTACTTCAAACTATTGCATCTGTCATGGTCCAGGTATCATACCTGATGTGCAAATTATATTGCGTTTTCACCTTGTGATTTAGATATTCATAAAATAACCCATGTCACAGATGACAGTGTATATCAATCTGAAGCATATATTGGTATAAAGGACTTTTTCATCGTTTTTATTAAATCTATAGATTTTTTCCAATCAACAGTATGATTCAGTAATTATGACTAAGTAAGACATAAGCAAATTATTTCTAATTTATTTTTAATTCTTTTGACTGCCATCTGCAAGCTTCTCTTCAAGCCACTCACCATCTTGACTTCGAGAAATATCGCATTCTTTCAGAGCTGTTGGGTCAAAAGCCTGCATTGAGTTCAGCTAGTGATGCCAACATTCCATGAGGGAATAAAAAAAAATCTTGAGCAGAAGGTACAGGGGCTGGAATACTCTACTTTCTCGAGTGTTCAATTAGCGGAGCACCTATCTAAATTCCAATTTTCCACTCTATTGAGTTGAATTGAATTAGATTTGTTGTCACAGGTATTCACACGAGTACAGTGAAAAGTTTATAAGTCGTCACCTACGGCGCCATCTTAGGTACAAAAGTACCTAGGTACAGGATCTTGGTACAGAGAAGAAAAATGAAGAAAACCATGTTTAAAAAGTTAAATATTACATTCCTTCTTACTAAAAAGTAGAAAGACAAAGAAACACACTCAACAGTTCAACATCACAGTCCATAAGTGCTTAGCCATGCTGGGTTCACGCTCCTCACAAGAGCTTGACCTCTTCCCCTGCCACCAGCCATTCCAAACTACCTACTCCCACTCATCCCTCCAGTTCTCCCCACCCTGCACCCTGGGCTGCCTGCTCCTACTCTCACCGCTGGCTGTCCCAAACTGCCTACTCTCGCTCTCATCTCACCAGCTGCCCCAGACTGCCTGCTTCCACACTCGCACTGCTCGGGATGACTGCTGATGCCGGGCACCTTTCTCGCTTGCCCTCCATCACTTAATGTTCAATTTTCTGTTGGTTGGAGTCTTGAATATACTCATTGTCCACAGCCTTCTCGGATAGAGTATTCTAAATAAAACTGATTTTGTTTTTTGTCTAATTGACTTTTGAATCTGTCTTAAGAAAGCTAGCATGACCTCCAATAGACCTGAAGGTTGACCAATGGACAAACTAACTTCTGCCTGACCTAGGAAGGCCGAGAACATATACTTTATGATTGGGGTAGTAGGAACTGCTGATGCTGGAGTCTGAGATAACAAGGTGTGGTGCTGGAGGAACACAGTATCAGAGGAGCAGCAAAGCTGACGGTTCGGGTCTGGACTCTTCTTCAGAAATGGGGGAGTGGAAGGGGGCTCTGAAATAAATAGGGGGGGAGCGGTGATAGAAGGTGGATAGCAGGTAGGTGGAGAGAAGACAGACAAGTCAAGGAGGCGGGTCCTTTTAAAGCCGAATGGCTCCTGCTTTATAAGGTACCATACAAGAGTAATAAGAAAATGGTTGTTTGGTAATGCAAGACTTGAATTTTGCTGAAAAAAGACATACATTGTCAAAGATTTTTGTTGTGTACTCTATAAACCATTCACAATTTGGCACATTTGCCTAGCTACAAATATTAATGCACAAGACTTTGTTCTTCACCTGTTTCAACTCAGTAAAATGGGTGATGACTATTCTCTATTTCGTTGATCAAGGCATTGCCCTGAGATTAGATTAGATTAGATTTATTTGTCACATGTATTAAGTATATAAATACACAAGTAGAGTGAAAAGTGCACAAAGTCATCATTCCCAAACCCCATCTCCACAACGGTGCAGGCACTGCTCCAATCGCTAGGACACCCAGGAGGCCGCCGCCATGTGAAAGGCCCACTCTTGCCACCGACTGCAGCCCCCTCACCGGCCCCGCTCTCGCTGCCCACTGTCCCCTCACTGACCTGCTCTCATCGTTGAACCGGCCCACTCTTGATCTGCCACCGTTGCTCCAGCCCATGCTCGATCCACTGTCACTACAGGACACGGCCCAGGTGTTCAGCTCCCGCCACACAGTTCCCTGTCGCAACCTGACTCCTTAGGTAGGTAGTTAAAAGGGCAGGAGGTGGGAGCCATAGAATTACTGCAGAGAGGAGAGGGAAGGAGAAAAGAATAGGAAAAGGAAAGGGAACTGGTGAGCAGAGTGCAGCTCCAAATAGAGCAACTTACACTGCAGCATCTGCAGTTCCTACTATCTCTGCAGCCAATCAACGTGGTTTAAAATTTAAACCAAATTTGGCAATTAACTGTCAGTCAGTATTAACTGGTGCTTGTACCCATACAACATTTGTACCAATCAGAGTCTAGTTTGCCAATCAATCAGCACTCTCTTCTCATACAGTGCAAATGTTTTGTTTTCTCTTTACTTTCGTATTTCTTATGAATTGTCCACAATGAGTACAAGATGACCAGCTTTACCAAAATGTTTGTTAGGAGTAAATTAGTGAATTAGATTAGGTCTAATTATACAACTAACATTTTGACTATTAACAAGGTTCATTTTGTTGACGGATGTGGGTCAGTTTGCTCAGATGGCTGGATGGCCATTTTGTGATGCAGCATGATGCCAACATTGCGGGTTCAGTTCCTATATCGGCTGAGATTACCATGAAGGACTTGCCTTCTCGATCTCTCCCCTCATGAGGCATGGTGACTCTCAGCTTAACCACCACCTGTTTACCTTACCTTCGGTTAAAGGCCTGTGCCAGTATGAGAAGATGGACTATTGGGTTTATGGGGTTTGCTAAGTTAGTTTCCTGTCAGATATCAAGATTCAATAAGCTAAGTAGCTACAACACACTTGTGTACCATTCAGGCATTTATATTGTCAGCAAAGTTGACAAATCACTGTATGTGATAAACATTGCCTTGTATATATGAAAAATGGCAAACATCACACGTGATGTGGTTTTAATCAACAAGCAGTACAGAATCATTAAGGAAGCTATATCGTGGAAAGAAATGATCTGCATTATAATCTCTTGTTCTGTAGATAACATAATATATTTTTAAATAACCTGTAAAGACTACAGAGGATCTAATCCAACCGAACTCCTTTTAAGCTTGCTGCATTGTTCCAGTTCATTAGATACCTTCACTTTCCAGGACTGCTCAAATTTGAATAACCAAGAGATATGGATTAAAAGGAGTTTGGTAAGAGCAAGATAAACAGGGAAGTAGATCATTGTGAGTTAAAGCATTGAACAGACAACATGCATTACTGAGTACAGTTTCAAAAATATTATTTCTTGTGATGTGTGTTTGTTTTCCTTTTTATTTGTTTTGTGTAATTTGGTCATCTTGAACTTTGGCTCGTATTCTCCCACATTCATGCTCTTTAGAGCACTTTGTTCTATGTTTCAATTTAGTGTGGGAGTGATAAGAACAGGGTCATTCCTCAGGCATATAGTTCCTTCAAAGTTTAATGTTCAAATATTAGCTTTGGGCTTGAGAAGCACATTACTGAAAGGGCTACTAGACAAATATTCCTTTGTGGTATCTGTGATGGAAATCACGAATATTTTATTGTTATTCTGGTTAAAACAAAATTTCTGAAATGCAATCAGGACATCTGTATATAATATGGAATTTACTGTTGTGAGTGGTTTAAGGTTTGCAGAGAATTTGTTTTACATTGAATCATCTGCCTTGAAATGATTTCAAATTTCATAATCTTCAAATTGGTTTTCAATTGCACATCATTTTCTGATGTTGTTAGAAGAGTGTGTTTTAAATTCATAAAAATAATTATATTTCATTAGAACATTGTATTGCTATGAAGCCAAAATTTGTTCGAAGTTTGTTGATGCCACTATCAATTTGTACAAGTTTTCTGACCTTTCTATGATCCTGAAATCTAATAGAAATTTTATGGTACTGTTTGAAAATTGTGCTTCTGTTGGAACTGATGTGGCATTGTGAGAGATCCATATGAGTCTTGGATATTAAGATTTGTCGGCTCAGTTCCAACACCCATGCCTTGAAGAAGTGAATGAACCTAGACCATTGGTTATGGGACAGCTATCTACTGGTTTAATATAGCAGTGATAATTAATCTAATTCGAACTTGTTACTTTAACCAACACCACTAAAACACACTTTTTTTGATAATTTGTTTGTTCATATTTTGTAGAGTGCATGCGGTTTGGCTCCCACATTTGACAACCTATAAGTACTAACTGTAAAATAGGTTGAACACTAAGAGCATGAAAGGTGCTGTATGGATGTAGGCTCAACAACTTTATGATCTTTTAAAACATTTTTTCCAGGGTTTACCCTTGGTTGAGGCCCCTTGCCTATACATCATTAGGCGTATTTCTGATGGGCTTTATTCTATGGAATGTAGACAACATCTTTTGCAATAATTTGAGGTAAGCTTTATCTCTTTCAATAGACTTTAAAACTTTCATCCTTCTTTTCAAATCCCTCCATATTCTCACTTCTCCCTATGTCCTGAAATCTCTCTGCTCCTCTGAAGATTGGTATTCTGTTTCATACATTGGTGTGTTCATAAACCTGACCTCTTAAATATGCCTGGTTTACATTGTTCCGGCATTGGCGGTCATGATTTCAGCAGTTTGGACCTTAATCTTTGGAATACTCTCCCTAAACTTCTTCGTCTCAATTTGTATCTCTTCCTTCAAGGCATTCCTTAAAACCTACCTCTTTGCCTTGGCTTTTGGTTCTTGTATATCATGTGTGGTTCTATCAAATTTTGCTATAATCTATTCCTATGATGCAAGTGGAAGTATGATATCAAATGGAACCGAGGATTCGGAGGTTATGTTTGGCATTGGTGCATGGTAAAGCTGCCCCAAGTAGAATTGTAGGACTAAGTATCCATCAAGAAATAAAATTGAATTTTAAATTTGTACCCTAAATATTCATGGTAAAATGAGGATGTCAACAACATAAGTCACTGAACTAGCGATCCAGAGACCCAAACGACTATCCTGAGGACAGGGACTGAAAGCCGACTGTGGCATGTGATGAAATTTTAATTTGATTCATAAATCTGGAATTAAGAGCTAGTCTAATTGTGCTAATGAAGCCATTGTTAATTGTCAATTTTTAAAAATTTGTTTCATTAATATCCTTTAGGAAAGGAAAGCTTGCTATCCTCACCAGACGGTCTACATGTGACTCTAGATCTACAGCTATGTTAGTGACTCTAAATGCCTTCTGAAATGGCCTAGCTTGTCACTCAGCTATAGCTAACTGTTATAAAGTCTGAAAATGAACAGGGTACAAGAATAAAGAGGCCTTGCTCCAATTGTACAGGCTTTTGTGAGACCACACCTGAATTACTATATGTAAAACTGTAAAATATAGGAGCAGAATTAGGCCATTCAACCCATCGGGTCTGTTCCACCATTCAATCATGGCTGATATGTTTGTCAACCCCATTCTCCTGCCTTCTTCCTGTAACCTTTGATCTCCTTACTAATCAATAATCTATCTATCTCTGTCTTAAATACACCCAGTGACTTTGCCACACAATGCTGAGTTCCACAGATTCACCACTTTCTGGCTGAGGGATATAATTTTGGTGTTTGAAAAGGAAGGATATACTTGCATTGGAATCAGTACAGCGAACATTACTGGATCGGTAACTGGAACTAGGGTTCATCTATAAAGTGATCAAGATTATTAATGGACTTAGATGCGGAAATGTTGTTTCCCTGGCTATGTCATTTAGAACCGGTGCACTATTTTATGCAAAGGGCCAATCAGTTTGCACTAAGATGAGAAATACCTTCACTCAAAGGGTTGTGAATGCATCATCACTAAACTTTATTCATTCATGGAATGTGGATGCCACTGGCAAGGGCAGAGTTTGTTGTCTATCTCTATTTGTCCTTGAATTGACCGACTTGCTGGCCATTTTAATGAGTTGTTAAGAGTCAACTACATTGCTGAGTGTCTGAAGTTGCAAGCAGGCCAAACCAGATTCCCTTTTCCAAAGGGCATTAGTGAACCAGATGGGATCCTATGATCGTAGTGGTCATCATTACTGAGTATAGTTTCATATTCCTATTTATTAACTGAATTTAAATTCCATGCTGGATTTGAGCCTGGACCCAGTGCAAAAACCTGGTGTCTGATATTGCCCTTCCACTACTGTCTGCTCAATTTTGTATTAAATATATTGAATATACTTAACGCTGGGATAGAAAATGGTCCTTCAGTGATGGACATGGGGTGAGAATGGAAAGAACGTGGAATTGAATCCCGATATCAACTATAACCATAGGTCTTCTGCTTTTATTACTTTTAGTATTTAAAGTAATGAGGGTCACTTACAGTAATTAGCAATAAGAACTGTGATAGTAAATGTGAGGTTTTTTTTCACTCTGAGTTATGATGGTCAGGATCATATTGGCTGAATAGTTGATGGGATATTTCTCAAAAAATGTCGTCAAAAAGAGGCTGAAGAATAGCTTATGCATTGGGAAAAGGCAAGGAAGTAGAACTGATTGGATATCTCTATCAAGAGAGCTGACACAAACATGATAAGACAAATGGTCACCTTTTGTGTTATCTTGCTATGATATAACTCAAATGTAATTTATAAACTTTCCTTGAAATTTTTGGACGTTTCTCAGCAAATTTCTCCCTTCTTGTCCTCCAGTGTCAGTTTGGGTTGAGGTCAGTTTGTTTTGTTGTTGCAGGTACTTCATCCAAGGGGGTTACTATTCATTTGCGACTTATAAAGAATATGATCTGCTCATAGGCAATTTTACAAATGTCAGTGAATATTGGAAATACTGAAGATATTCATCCTTCCCTAAGGGTGGTCCTTTCAATTAATGGAAGAGTTGAATTTTACAGAATAGAGATGGAAAATTAGAAGGGGCATGATAAAGTGTTAACTTTATTGCACAAAGATTCTTTTGTGTTGTGGTAGTTGGTCATATGTACCAGAAAGACTTGGGCTAAACTTTTTTATTATTTATGGGCATTTATTGCCTGTCCTTAATTGCTCAGAGGATAGTCAAGTCTCAGACTCATGTAATTCAGGCAAGGCAGGGATGGCAGATTTCTCTTGCCTAAAGGATATTAGTGAACCAGGTGAGTTTTTATGACAACAAAAACGAAAAGAACTGCAAATGCTGTAAATCAGAAACAAAAACAGAAGTTGCTAGAAAAGCTCAAGCAGGTCTGGCAGCATCTGTGAAGAGAAATCAGAGTTAACGTTTCAGGTCTGGTGACCCTTCCTCAGAACTGGGCGGCACGGTGGCTCAGCGGTTAGCACTGCTGCCTCACAGCGCCAGGGACCCGGGTTCGATTCCACCCGCGGGCAACTGTCTGTGCGGAGTTTGTACATTCTCCCTGTGTCTGCATGGGTTTCCTCCGGGTGCTCCGGTTTCCTCCCACAGCCCAAAAATGTGCAGGTTAGGTGGATTGGCCGTGCAAAATTACCCTGTAGTGTTCAGGGATATGTGGATTAGGTGGGCTGTAGGGGGATGGGTCTGGGTTGGATGCTTTTGAGGGTCAGTGTGGACGTGTTGGACCGAAGGACCTGTTTCTGCTGTGGGGATTCTGTGATCTATGAATTCAGATTTCACCATCTATTACGGTGGGATTTAGGTTCATCTCGGCAGAAGATTTGCCTGGAGCAGTCCAATGACATAACCACTACACCATTGCCTCCCCTTAGTCTCCTACTAAGGAGGCTTTTTTCCCCATTGAGTTCATGGCAGTTCTCTGTAGGACAGTTCAGTCAGACCCATTATACTGCTCCATTCCTGTGGCTCTGCAAATTTAATTTCCTTGGTGGCCCATCCAATTCCCTTTCGAAATCATTCATCATCAGTCTGTGTTTAAAAAGTTCTTCATCATAACCACAATCTCTCTTTCTTTAGAGTCGTGCAGCACAGAAACAGACCCTTTGGTCCGACTCATCTATGCCAACCAGGCATCCCAATCTGACCTAGTTCCATTTGCCAGCATTTGGCTCATATCCCTCTAAACTTTCCTAATTATATAAGAATCCAGAAGACTTTTAAATGTTGTAATTGTACCTGCCTCCACCACTTCCTCTGGCATCACATTCCATAGATGCACCACCCTCTGTATGAAGAAGTTACCCCTCAGATCCTTTTTAAGTCTTTCCCCTCTCAATTAAACCCATGCCCTCTAGTTTTGGACTCCCCACCCTAGGAAAAAGACCTTGGCTATTCACCCTATCCATGCTCCTCGTGATTTTATAAACCTCTAATGTCACACCTGAGCCTCCGCTGCTCCAGGGAAAAATGCCCGAGCCTATTCAGCCTCCCCCTACAACTCAAACCCTCCAGTTCCCGCAACATCCTTGTAAATCTTTTTCGCACCCTCTCAATCTAACATACATCCTTCCTATAGAAGCATGACCAGAATTGTATGCAGCATTCAAAAAGTGGCCTCACCAGGGTCCTATACAGCTGCAGTATGACGTCCCAACTCCTATACCCAATGTTCTGACCAGTGAAGGCAAGTATGCTAAGCACCTTCTTCACCATCCTGTCTACCTGTGACCCCACTTTCAAGGAACTATGCACTTGCACCCCTCGGTCTCTTGATTTAGCAACACTCTCCAGGGTTCTGCTGTTAACTGTATAAGTCCTGACCAGGTTTGCCTTACCAAAATACAGCATCTCACTTTTATCTAAATTAAACTCCATCTGCTATTCCCTGTCCATTAGCCCATCTGAACAAGGTCACTTTGTACTCTGAGATAATCTTCTTCATAGTTCACTACACTAACAATTTTGGTGTCATCTGCAAACTTCCTAACAATGCCTTCTATATTCACAAACAAACCATTTATATAAATAACAAAATGTATGGGACCAGCACCGATCCTTGTGGCACACCACTGTTTACAGGCCTCCAGACTGAAAAGCAAACCTATACCTTCGCGCTCTGTCTCCTACCTTCAAGCTAATTTTGTATCCAATTTCTTTCTTCCCCCTCCCCATCTGCAACTCTTGCCAAAAGCATTTTCTGTGACCATAGTTGTTGTACCACCAGGTAATAGGAGCAGCTTTCTTTTGTATGAAGTAGAAAAAAAACCATAATCTTGTACACTTCTATAAAATCTCCCCTCAATTTCCTTTGTGGTAATGAGAACAACCCCAACTTCTACCTACCCTTGTATCTATATAATACCTCATCTCTGGAAGTATTTGGTTGGACCTACTCTTCACCCCACCGTGGATGTGTGCGTCCTAAAATGTGGTGACCAAGCTGAATGCAATACTCCAGTCATAGAGCTTTATAAAGGTTCTGGATTAACCTGTTTCTGTACTCTGTGCCTCTAATTTGCAGCCCAAGATCTCTCTGTTTTGCCAATTGTTCTGTACATCCTGCCCCTCCTACAATAATCGCACATCCACATTCTGACAACCAGATCCCTCTATCCTTGCATGCTGTTTAGAATGATTAAGCTATGAAGTCTAGAATCGTAGAATAGTTTCAGCAGAAAGAAGGCCATTTGATACATTGTGTCTGTGCCAACTTGTCTGTTTCCTTCTACTAAAATGCAACACCTCTATTAAACTCCCAAATGTCACTTGTCTATCTGTTCTGTAAGCCTCTTAATGTCCCATTACAATTGGTTCAAATCAAACTGATCTTTCACTGCACTTCCATGTTTTGTATCATGACCAAGTTTTGAAATTTTAATTTCTATTTCCATTTCCAAGTTGCTTATGTGTATATCCGTTCCTTGGTACTTGCTGGAATGTGTGTGGGTGGATGTTAGGTGAAGACACAGATGGTCTTGGCCAAAAAACTCGAGCTGAATCTGTTATTGTAACTCATGGGAAACCTTAATGTGTTGCTTGGCAAAAGAACTCCTGACAACCATTGAACTGCCCCAGTATAAGCTGCTAACTTTTGACATCAAAATTGCTAGTAATGGTAAAATACACCTTTTGGATGACTTTTGAAATGTAATTAGTGTCATTTTTTTCTCAAGGGATATCCGGCAGAAGTTACCATTCCAAATCCTAGGCGCCATGACACACTTTCATGCTTGGTGGCACATTCTAACAGGCCTCGGCTCCTATTTGCACATTCTCTTCAGGTAGGCTTTATGTCAATATACTTGGCTGTCTCTCTCTCTCTCTCTCTCTCTCTCAAGATGCAAAATTATTTTAAAACAATGTCTTGGCTCCTTTCTCCTGTGAAAATACAGATTGCCATTTGTTGATTCACACAAGCAGGGAATAGTGGTCTTAAAGCTTGGATTTTGCTCCTCCTACCACATTGTATAGGTGCAAGTAAGATGGTAAAGTATCTGTTAAAGTATTTGTATGGATTCTTTGTTATCGACACATTTGTTCATTACATCAACAAACAAAAAGGACTTTGTCAAGGTGAAACGTTTAAAGAGGTAATTAGGGTTAGGAGTAAGCAAAATATGCAGCCAGAATTTTAGCATTCGAAAGAAGATAACTTAAAAAGTATAGTCAAAGAGAACGAAATGAGCAGCAACTGTTGGTTGAAGGATTAGTTAGATAAGATTCTGCACAGGAAGGGGATTGAGTGACATGGAATAGAGACCTATTGAAAAAGGGTGGTCCTCTGCCTAGTTGGCCCTTCCTGTTCCTAGAGATTCTATTTAGAGGAAATTTGGGTTTGAAATGATCATCAGTAATCTTGGGATTAATGTACCTCAATACTGTAGAAATAAGTATATTTAAAAGGAATAGCACTTCAAAGTGAGCTGAAATAGCAGAAACGAAGGGAGAAAGTAACCAGTTTCTAGGTTTTGACGTGATTGAATATATGCACGTCAGACATGGCTCTGTTAAGGATTATGTCATAACCATTTACCCATGTCAATCAGGTGTAGTTTTCAACTGAGAAGAAAAATGACTAATTCTTGGAAAGGCCAGCCTGTTAATCATATTTCATCCTGTGTCTCATAGTGGGTGTTCCTCACAAAACTACCTGTTGAATCTCCTACTTTTAATAAACACCAAGGTCCTTTGCTCACCTTACCTGGAGAAACTAAACACATTGTACTTACAGCCCAAGGACTGCAGCAATTCATAGAGGTAGCCCATCTCCACTTCTTCCAGGCAATTAAAGATAGGCAATAGATGCTGGCCCAGTCAGATGGCCTGCATCTTATGAACAAATGTATAAAGTTCTCAAGCCACCTACTCGAAGGTATTTTTAAAAGCTGTCCATTGTCCCTCGAAGTTCTGCGTTTATTCCACGTCAGTTATTTGCTTAAAGAAAAGAAAATCTAATCTCTGTCCTTTTGAGCTTGATGAACTTTGAGCACAGGATGGGAAAACAAATACACTACCCACATTCCAAAACTTGTTTACATCAGTCCTTCATACAGTTTAATTGTTTTGTAAAGTCTGTAATCTGCCTCCTCGAATTTGTGTATTTCTCCAATGAAAATAAATCCAATTGTTTTAGCCTCTCTTTATGGCTTGGCCTCAAAGATTTGTAACTAACCTGCTCTAACTAATTAACCACTCTTGTCTACAAACTTTATAATGTTTTGACATAAGATGACAGAACTACAAGTCACATTTCAGGGTTAGCTTTATAATTAATACTCGTTCTTGATAAAGCAAGAATTTTTTTAAAAATTCGCCCGTGGGACGGGCACATTGTTGTTTAGGTCAGCATTTATTGCCCATCCCTAGTTATAGAGTCATTGAGTTATTTAGCACAGAAACAGACCCTTTGATCCAACTTGTCTGCACTGACCAGACATTCCAATTTGATATGGTCCCATTTGCCAGTATTTGGCTTATATCCCTCTTAAACCCTTCTTATCCATATACCCTAGAGAAGGTGGTCATGAGCTGCCTTCTTGAACTGCTGCAGTCCATCTGCTGTAGGGTGACCTACAATGCCCTTGAGGAGAGAATTCCAGGATTTTGACCCAGCAACAAGCAATATATTTCCAAGTCAGGATGATGAGTGGCTTGGAGAGAAACTTACAGATCGTGGTTCCCATGTATCAACTGCCCTTGTCGTTCTGGATAGAAGTGGTCCTGGGTTTGGAAGAATCAGTGTAAGGAGGTTTGGTGAAAATTTTTGCAGTGCATCTTGTAGGTGGTACACACTGCTGCTACTGAGTGTCAGTGGTGGAGGGAGTGGATGCTTGTGGATGTGATGCCAGTCAAACAGGCTGCGTTGTCCTGGCTGGTACAAAGCTTCTTGAGTGTTGTTGGAGCTGCACCCATCCAGACAAGTGGGGAGTATTCCATCGCACTCCTGACTGGCACCTTGTAGATGATGGGCAGGCTTTTAGGAGTCAGGAGATGAGTTACTCGCTGCAGTACTTATGTGGTGAGCCCAATTTCTGGTCAATGATTACCCCAAGGATGTTGATACTGGGGAAGTCAGTGATGGTAACAGCATTGAATGTCAAGGGGCAGTGACTAAATTGTCTCTTATTGATAATGGTCATTGCCTGGCATTTGTGTGTTGTGAATGTTACTTACCACCTCTCCGCCCAAGTCTGGATATTGTCCAGGCATTTGAACACACTGCTTTCGTATCTGAGGAGTCGTGAATGGTGCTGCGTATTGTGCAATCATTGGCAAATATCCCGACTTCCAACCTTGTGGAGGGAAAGTCATGGATGAAGCAGCTGAAGATGACTGCACCTAAGACACCACCCTCCAGAACTCTTGCAGAGATGCCCTGGAGCTGAGATGACTGGCCTCCAGCAACCACAACCATCATCTTATGTGCCAGCTATGGCTCCAACCAACAGAGAATTTGCCCCCTGATTCCAGTTCCATTGAACTTTCCTTGGGATCCTTGCTGCCACACTGAGTCGAATATGGCTTGATGTCAAGAGCTGTCTCTCTCACCTTACCTCTGGAATTCAGTTCTTTTTATCCATGTTTGAACCAAGGCTGTAATGACGTTAGGAGCCTAATGGCCCTTGCAGAACCCAAACTGAGTGTCGCTGAACAGGTTATTGCTGAGTAGGTACTGCTTGATTGCTGATGATTGAGAGTAAACTGATGGAGCATTAATTGTCCGGGTTAAATTCATCTGCATACGAGACAAACCCAAGCAATTTTCCATGTAGTTGGGTCGATGCTACAGTAAGAATGTAACCAATTGAGACATGTTGCAATGCTGGCTTGAATTTTATTTTTCAACTTCCGTTTTGTTTGTTCTCCTTCAGTTATAAGTCAAAACCAGCAGTGAATATTTGTGGTTGAAAGACCAACCAGTTTACAAAATAATGAAATGCTGACATGGAAAGGGCTACTTAACAAGGATACAGAGTACAGCACCAAATGTTAGAAATTTTACAAACAGGTTAGAAATTAGAAAACAAAAAATTCACTCACCCCACCCCAGGACAACTGGACACCTTTAACATGCTTGCAAAGAGACTCGGATGGAACTCTTAAAGTTAAGCTAAATGCTTCTCTGCTGAGGCGTGGTATCAAGGGTTACAGAAATATGTAATTGATTTGATTTTTTTTAAATTCAGAAATGCAGATGAAATCATTTGTGAAGTAGCCGTTCATGATAAAGATATCGGCTATGATTGAGTGGTAGCACTCTCTCACCTCTGCTTCAGAAGATGGATTTTAAACTTCCTGTAATCAAGGCTGACACTCTAGTACAGTACTGAGGGAGTTCTGTGCTGTCAACTGTGCTGCCTTTCAGGTGGAAGATAAATTAAAAGCCCATTGAGCCATTCAGTTCGATGCAAGAGATCCTAAGGTACTATTTGAAGGAAAACTGGGACATTCTGAGGTTGCAAAAGATACGTTATAAATTTGGGTTCTTTTTTTCTTTAATGGATGATTCGAGATGGAACATAATGTAGGAGATCAGAACATTACTTTTATTGATCCTGGATTGGAGAAGTGTTACAGAATGAATGATATTTCTTGCTTTTGATATTTGTGCTGCTGTGCATTTGACTTACATGTTTGCTAATGCCAGATGAAATACGCTTATTAATTCATTCTGCATGGCTGACTTTGGAACAAGAGGCAAGAATAAATCCATTTTTTAGACAATGTTTATAAAACAATCTGTCAAAGGCAGGGATCAGGGACACATAGCAAAGAAATGGTTGAAGTCAGAAAGTCAGACCATGACCTGGGAGTCTTGCACAGGGTCAGATTTAGACTGTGAGAAACTAAGAAAAATGAGAGGGTATGTGTACTAATTAAACTGGGTTATGTTTTGAATGCAGTCGGGAGGGAATTGGCTTGTCATTCTGACAAATTTTATTTTACTTGTTGCAAATAATGTATTCAACTTGTGGGTATAATCTGGGAGCAAGAGCACGAGTGTAGAGGAAAAGATGGGGCCTAGAGGGGTGCAACCATTTTGAGTTTGTGGCATGAAGCTTATCCTTGTTTTGCTGCCAACCTGGGGATCAGATGATTGGAGTATTGTTTTCATCTTTCAAATTATGAAGCAACATCCCGGATTGCAGTTAATGGCAGTGGTTTTGCCTTTAATCTTGTTTCATTTATTTCTCTGCTGTCTGTGTCCTTTGCAGCTCTTTTCAACTCTTTGCTCAGCTCAGTTGCTTTTCTGTGTCAAAGTTGGTGGAGGTGTAATTTTTTTTAATGCTAACAGAGGGTTGTACCTCCTCAATAATTATTAACAACTGAATTCCAGTGAATGTAGTTTTGCACATCCATGTGCCACACTTGACAACCGTGACTATGCTTCAATATGTATCACATTTGCTGTTGAGTATTTTGTGACATCCTGAGGTTGGGTAAGGCAGTTGTTAAATCCAAGACTTTAGTCACACAAATTGCCCCTGTTGTACTAGGCAGAAAATAAAATGTGAGCAACACGATTGATAGGTAATGTTGTTCAAACAGTGACTGTTCTGCACAGGTATGGCTATTCTGCTCCAACAATTTCTCAACAACTTCAATGAGATGTATCACCAGTAGATTTCTATTTTGTTTATTTTATTATTTGTTCATGGGATGTAGCGTAGCTGGCAAGACCAATATCCATGGCCCGTCCCAAACGGATATCACAATGTTTAGAAAAAGCTTGTATTCATCGAGCATCTTTCACAGCCCCAAATAACTCAAAGTGCTTTATAAAGTACTGTCATTATTTTGCAAAGTAGGAGATACAGCAACCAATTTGAGGAGAGTAAACTCCCACAATAACACTCTGAGAATGATCAGAATCGTTTTTTCTTTAGTGATGTTGATTGAAAGTAAATATTAGCCAAAATACCCACAAGATCTCCACTGGTCATCTTCAAAGCAGTGCCATATGATATTTTACATCCATCTGAGAAAGCAGATGGGTCCTCGGTTTGGCATCTCATCCAACAGATAAATTTTGGATTTATCTGATGTTTAAATACCTGTAATGGATCATTCTGGTGACCGTGGTGTGTGCCAGAATGTGCTATGAAATGCATCCTTCAAAATACAACCTACCTGGTTAAAGGGTCTAAAATCAGGGATCATCAGTTTTAAAATCAAAACAGGGGAATGTCACCTAGGTCTAAGATGAGGAGAAGTGTTTTTACTCTGAGGATTGTGAACCTTTGGAAGTCTTTCCCATAGAGGGCTACGGAGGCTCAGTCTTTAAATATGATAGAATTCTGATTGGTTGTGTTGTTTTGAGGGTATGGGGATGTTGGGGGCAAGTAGAAGATATTGAAGTGTTCGATCAGCCACAATTGTATTGAATAGCAGAGCAATTTCGATGGGCTAATTCGCCTATTCCTGTACCATTCCTAGCCAGGGACAGTGTCTCAGCATGCCAGGATTTCAAAAGAGAAGTAACTGAAAGTTGCAAATTAGGATACTTTTGTTGCAACTTGTATTTCTTCATGGCTCTAATGCACATAAATGTGTATATTTAACCACTTAATCTGGTTTAGGTCAGACAGTCTAAAGACCTTGCCAAGAACAACCAAGCAGAATAATGACCAGTGCAATTGTATTAATCCTCTCAGATATCAGCTGCTAATAGATGTTTATGTACTGTTAATTCTGATCAAATGTTTTTGCATTTTTTTAAATCAGCATGTATACAAGAACTCTATACTTGAAATACAGACCTAAAGTGAAGGTAAGCCGAGACTGCTGATACATGTATTGGTAGCCATTATCTAAAGTTCAAATGTTTCTTGTAAGATAAGGTCATATTGTAATGAAACGGGAAGAACAGTTTTCCTACTTACAAAGATACAAATTTATCCATCCTTTTCATTGGAGAGGAATAGGTCATTTAAATGCTCTGTGGCTTAAATCATGGTACCCACCTTTTCTCTCTATCGCTTAAAACTTTTTATTAAAATCTGTCAATCTAAGATTTAACATTGTGGGAGAATGGGTCCTACCATTCATCATGTATTTCCTTACTTTGTTTGTCCTCCCTAAGTGCATCGTCTCTCACTCATTTATCTGAATTGAGTTCCATTCCACTAATCAGCCCGTATATATCCTCCTGTAATCCAAAGCTATCCTCTTCACAATTTACCATCCCACCAATTTTGTGTCATCCATGAACTTACTGATCAACCTTGCTACATTCAGGTCTAAATCATTTATATTTCCCACAAACAGCTAGGACCCCAGGACTAATCACTGCGGAAACTCACTGGGCACAGGCTTCCAGTCAGAAAAACACGTTTCAATCGTTAACCTGTGCTTCCTACCACTCAGCCAATTCTGGATCCAATTAGCCAAATTTTATGGGATCCCGTGCACTCTTACCTTCGCTATCAGTCTCCCATGAGGGTCCTTATCGAAAGCTTTGTTGAAGTCCAAGTAGATTATGTTAAATGCAATACATTATCCTCATCTACACACCCGGTCACCTCTTTACGAAATTTGAACTCTTAAAACCATGCTGACTGTACTTAATTAATCCTTGCCTCTTCAAGTGCAGGTTAATTCTGCCCCTCAGAATTGCTTCTAGTAATTTCCAAACCACTGAGATTAGACTGACTGACTGGCTTCCTGATATATCCCTTTCCTCCCTTCTTGAATAATGGTTACCACATTGGCTGTCCTCCTGTCCTCTGGCATTCTCCTGCGGCCCAGGGGAATTGAAAATTATTGCCAGCACCCCTGCTTTTTCCTCCCTTGCCTCACTCAACAGCCTCAGATTTGGCTCTAACGCCAAACCTTAGACTCCCCAACCATTGAAATAAATTTGTCTTATGCTTAAGTCTGAGGAATGATGAACTGCTTTCTTTCTGTGTTTCAATCCTCCACTGGCCATACTAAAGATTGTATTTAAAAAGATGTTATTGCTAAATTAGACATATTATATCTCATATCCAACTATGTATAGTATCAGAATCAGCCAGCTAGGTTTCTTAACTAACACTTAAAGAACTGATTTATTGCAAACAAAATGTGTTCAAGTAAAGATATAAAAGATTATTAACAAAAGGTTTAACCTGTGTAAATAGGTACAACTATACTGCCTGAAAAATAACACACAATCTCCAAGTCTGCGGTAAAGTAATATAAAAACTCTGCAGACCCTTGTCTTTAAAAGTACTTTGACCGAGGAACAGTTAAATTCAGGAAAAAGAATTATTCACCATCAAACAGATGTTGGTCTAGTGCCAAAGTAACTTTGCACACTAACTGTTGGCATTGTGTCTGTTCTTGGATCAATTATGGGTCATTGAACTTTCTTTTCTGGATACAGTGATATTGTTTTAGAATTCTCCTTTAGGATGAGGTGGTGATGAGGCCATCCAGTAGGTTTTCAACTCTTTTTGACGACCGGGTTTTCAGGGAAAGTGAGAGAGGACAAAAGCTGTTTCCTTAAGCAAGATATATCTCTAACCATATGTTTTCAAATCCAATAGCTTTATAAGACCACAATCTGGGTCTGTGATCTCTCTGAAAGTTTTGTAGACTTGATTGCTCAATAGAACAGCATGTGTTTTGCAAATGCAAGATTTTTCCTGCAGCAGTCCAATCATCTTTGCTTTGCAAAGTAGTTTATCCAATAGGTCCATGATAGAGTACATGCCCATATTCTGAATTAACATTTCCTCTTAATATCCCGAAAACTTAGATCCTTCTAAATTTTAGAGAGTATAACCATAATTTATAATATTTGCTTTCACAATTTTCTAGGAGGCACGCTGGTGGAATTTGGTGGGATGTTTCAACAGAGTTTAATAAGGGGGCTCAATCTTAGAAAATTAAATCATTCTAAAACAATGATGGCAAACTTTGAGGCACGCTTGCATTATTCCCGTATATTTTGGTGCTCCAAATTTGCTGGTGGTGGTGGTTGCACCTGCAGGTCTGGATTTTGTGCACTTTTCTGAATGTTCCAGCAGTACTTTGTCAAGCTGTACTCTGGTTAAAGCACGCTGTGCAGAATGCCTTCAGTTCAGGATTTTCTTGTGCTTAAACGTATTTCAACCAGTTGAATGAATGATGAAACGGACTGAATGGCCTACTGTTCTCCTGTTTCCTGTTGTTAAGTAATGTGGACAAGGCTGCATTAACTTCCTTATTCCTTACTTGCCTTATTGTGCAGGAGCCGCTGATGCCAGTGCATTTGTACTCCAACAGGACTTAGTAGCTAGAGGCAAGAGTTTTTTATAGGTAAAAGTTAAAAATGCAGAATACAAATTTAATGTATATTGTGAATATTTTTGCTCAGTTGGGTTTGCCAGTTTTTCTGAGATCTTCTGTGAAAACAAGAATTCACAAACAGATAGCTACAACACTGAAGACATGAATAGGAAATTAAGGCCAGTTGCTGTTTGAGTACATCTAGTTCAAACATAGCAAGGTACAGAGAAAAGCTATTTATTACATAACATTACTTAAGTTCACAGGTAGTGCCCCTATTTCTGAGCCAAGAGGCCTGGCTTCAAGACTCATCTGCTCCAGAGGTGTGACATAACATGTATAAACAGGTTGATTAAAAATATCTAGAAAAGCATTATGTTTGCCAAATGGGCAATGCTAGTGTTTAGTTCCATGCAAACCTTATCCACATGTTTTATCTATTAGCACATACTTTATTCCTTTAAGTTTGTGTTATTCAGCTTCCACTTCAATTTATCTTTGCTATTTGCCTCAACAATTACATTTGGCAGTGAGTGCAAAAACATACCATGTTGAAAAGCTCAGCAACTGCCAAAGATGGCCAAGGTCAAGGTTCAGGGATGACTCCTCCCGATTCAGGCTCAGATTCTGACCGCCGCCACCACCAGCAAGTTTGGCGCACCAAAATATTCAGGAATAATGCGAGCCTGCCTCAGAATTGGCTGTCATTGTTTTACATGGCTTTATTTGCTAAGATTAAACCCCTTTATTAAACCGTCTGTTTCAAAAGCTTTCTTTAACACACATTGATATAAAGTTGAAAAGCAAAATAATGTAGATGCTGGGAAATGAAATGAGGATAGAAAATGCTGGAACAAAAACAAATGGCTGGAAAATCACAGATCTGTGGGTTTCTGGTCCAGTGACCCTTCTTCATGATACCAAAATGCTGGGACTACTCAGCAGATCCTGTTGCATTTGGGAGCGAAGAACAGGTTTCATCAGTTTAGATATTAAGTTGTTGATTTGAAATGTTAATATTGATATAAAGTAACTCATTTATTCACAGGAATTGCTCCAGTACCAACCCCCCAGAGCTTCTCATTGAAACATATAAGATCTTGAGAGGATTTGACTGCGTGGGTGTTGAAAGCGATGTTTCCTCTTGTGGGACAATTAGAAATAGGGACCACTGTTTGAAGATAAGGGGACATCCATTTAAAACAGAGATGAACTAACATTTTTTTCTTTTCCTCAAAAGGCAGAGTGTGTAGAATCTTTAAATATTTTTAAGGCAGAGGTA